CCCCCCCCCCCCCCCCCCCCCACCCTTTTGGACATAAAAGCAGTGATTACTTAGTGCCTTATTCCATCCCCTTCATACAATGTCAGTTGAGGGCCAGGGATTCCCTTTACAGTATGTTATGACTTGATCTCTGGCTTCTAGAAAATAAAGCCAAGAGTTGGCACTCACAGTGAAAGGAATACTTTTAGCACTGAAAAGAGGTACAAATGTGGCCTTCAATATTATAAGTGGGAGTGTGTGTTAGCGCAACATGCTTGTAGTCATGATATTTTGCGGATAAGTGCTTTGGACATTTTACATGTCCTGTTGATATGGACACCAGTGGAACAAATGTATCAGAGGACCATAGTAATGAGGTACACATTAACTAACTCAGATTAAGTTGATTTTATAAGGCACTGATATGAGAAAGAAAAACATAAAGAAAAATATTATTAGAAGCTTAAAGTGTTTGTTTGTTTTTACCTCATAATATTAGCAGTATTTTTTGGACCCCTCTGTCAACAGGTGCACTGCAGATAAATTATCCACTTCAATGCGATCTCTGTACTTTATTTTGGAATTACAAGCACTTGAATAACTCTCACAACAAATCCCATTCTTATAAAGTAACAAGAGGGTTCTTCAGCAAGTGTGACATTCAAAAATGATTTGTTCACAGCTGCATCATTAACTCTTGAAAAGCTTTTAAGGTCAAGGTTGACTGGAAAGCTTTGGAATACCTGCAAATCCTGCTTTCAAGTACAGTACATGTATTTATGTGACACTTTTGGCTACATTTTGTGTCATGATATATTATAATTTTTACAGTAGAATGCTGTTATCTCAAACTCAGTACTATTTAATTTGCCAGTGGGTAAACTAAAATAAATAATCATTTACTATCCAAATGGACAGATTAATTAATATCCACAAAGATCACACAAAATTTTACATATATTGTGCTTTTCTAAGAGATCAATAGGTAAGTTTAGTCACATTTTTATAATGTATAAAAATGAGACCAAGTTGGAAACTAGTCAGTCATAGCACAAAACTTCAAAGTTATATCAGGAACAAACAATAGGGCCATTTATAACAGGAAAAATAAGACTTGCTTCACATAAGGGGCATCTTGAATAAGATTTTAACTGTAACATTAATACGGGCTTGTCTTACACAAGACACAAGTAGCTTATGTAAAGAACAGGTGTTACTAGCTGTTCTTAGATAAGGTGCATCGTAGCTAAGTCATGTCTTATTTCAGATGACATGTGCTATTTATTTTCTATGGGAAGTTTCTATCTTACATAAGCCACGTCTTGTGTAAGACGTGTCCTATTTTTTTCATGTATGAATGGCCTGAATCTATCATATTTGGATAACAGTACCCTACTGAAATATGAATTTGCAAATGTCTACCTGCTGTGTGTATAATAATATTGTTTCCTCATCTCCCCTGAGACTACCCTTGAATTTACTTTTGCATGTGTCAATCTAAAGCTCAATGTGATCGGGGGCATCAAATTCATCTTCATGTTCTTCAGTTCCAGGCCCTTCAGTTCCCTCTTCATCCTCAGGCTCCTCCTCCTCCTCTTCCTCATCTCCAGTCTCCTGATCCTCATCCCAAGTCCCTTCTTCTTCATATGTCTCCTCTGGTTCATCTTCTGGTTCTTCAGGAACTTCATCCCTAGCTACTTCTGATTTCATCATGCCATGCTTTTCTAAAATCTGGCAGATTTCTTCTTTACTTTTCTCGGAGACATCTTCTTCCTAGAACACAAAAACAAACACCAAAAATAGTACACGGATTCGCCTCTTCAGGGCTTGGAAAAAAAACTTGACTTCCAACTTGTCTTTTAGGCAAAAAGCTTAATTACATTTCGCTTGCTTGAGGCCACTTCTTGCTTGTCTTAGTCTATAATTTTGTTGGAGGATGACTTGCCTGGTCCCTTGCCTATTGGGCAAGCAAGCTTTAAAAGTTACTTGCCCAGCGAGAAAATTTACTTGTCCTGGACTACTGGATGGGACTTTTTTGGAACCCTATGATCATAGCAAGTGCAGCTGTCAGGGGCACCCAGCAACTTTTTTCTGTAAAATGACTGAAAATCTGCTTGTCCTGGACTACTGGACAGGACGTTTTTCCAGTCCTATCCTATGTGTACTAGTGAGGAAAAAGAAAACAGTTTCCAATCCAAGCTAGGGTTTTATATAAGAGCAAGCTGTCTGCAAAATCCACCTGCTCCTCTGCAAGGCTCCCTTTCTTTTTGTAACAACATCTTAACATAATCTGTGATCTAAGTCCAATAACTGAACAGACACATGGCAAAATGGAGTTGATTTGCTAAATAGCCACTAAATTTTTTGGTACTAAGCCACAAAATATATGACACCAAGAGCCCATTGCCTGATAAGTGACAAGGGAAAGTAGCTGCAAAGTATACAATTTAAGTGACAAAGATATGAACTGAATGGCATACATACCAGTACCACCTTGTTCTTGGCATTCAAGAACACCATAGCTGGGTCTTTGCCAGGAATATACATGATGTTAACATCATGGCTTCAAAGAATTAAGGATTATGTAAGGTACAATAAATATTTTGACAAATGAATAAATCACAATGACTTAAAGTCAGTCCTGGATTAATACATTTATTAATTAAATTAAATACTTAAAAATTATCCTCTCTTCTCGTGGCGCTTTCCAGGTATAATGAAACAATTAAGTCAAATGGAACATAACATGGTTGAGAATCCCAGCTGTTAAGAGGCATACCACTTGGCTAATTTAAGAGTGTGGCTGAGGAGTTGTACTTGGTACTACCAAAACAAATCCACTAGTGGTCAGGACGGGACTCAGAGCCTCTGGATCACAAGTCCAGCACTCTAACCCCTCAACCATGCAGTCTCCTGTGTGGTACATGACCTTCACATGGACAAAATTGATGTGAAATTTGACTCAGTGATATAGCCTTAAAAAGCACGCTTTTAAAACATAAAAATATAGGCAAGAGCTAACATGTAGATGCTAAGCAAAATAAAAGCAAAATTAAATTTTAAAGAGAAAATTTCCCTCGTTGTTATTCATAAAAGGATACTAGTGAGGTAATAGCATTCTAATGAAGGCCTTCACCTGTGTTTATAAGCGACATTTCAAAAATGTGTCATACTTAAAGAATATCACTCGGCTGAGTGGAGAGGCAATTTTCTACGTATTACATAAACACCAATGAAATACGAACCATTTCACTTGAATATTTTTTTTGCTGTGAAAAGTGCAATAATATTTATCATTTAGCCATAGCAGTGACGATCTTTTCATGTACAAAGATAACATGCTATTTTTATGTGTGAAGATATCATGCTATTATATTCCCTTGATAAGATTTACAAGCAGTTAATTCATAAAAATGCCTATACTAGGGTTAAATTAGGAAAATAGCACTGCTTAGCAATACAAGGAAACATAAACTACTGACACAATAACAAATTAATGTCCAGAAGTTTGACAAACTATTCAAAAATATTGTTTGGATTCATTGACTCATTACATCCTTCCCTGCTAGCAGAGGTCTTTCATGGCGAGAGGAAAATGAAAGGAGAGAGAGCTGAGAGAGTCTCTCCCCTTCCTCTCATTTTCATCTCACCATGAGACCTCTTCTTGCAGGGAAATTACATCCTACCTCTGGAAGACGATTTAAACGTCATCCACCACAGGTCTAAGAATAAAACAAAAGGATGTAGGTTAGTAATCTCACAGTAGTTTTTATAACAACATTTTCCATAAATATTGTTTTCAATATCTTTAGGGGCAATCATTAATCACAAGGGAAATTGAAAACAATACTTCATGCAAAATTTAAGGGGGGGAACAAAGTGCATCATGGAGAATGCCATAGAGGAGAATTGGTAACTTAGTAGCAAATTAAGGTCTTTATTTTTTTAGGGAATGGTAATGAATGATGAGTTTGAAACAAGGAAAGGAAAGTTGAAACCACGGAAAAAATTGAGCCACAACATATTAATTGGTGCACAAGGGTATACAGGGACCTGCAGTGTGTACCTGCAGTGTGTACAATTCTTCTAGTGTGTATGTTGTTGTACAGTTCTATCCATGGTTTAAAATTTCATGTTCCTTTGTTTCAAACTCAACATCAGAAATTACCATACCCAAAAACAAGGAAAAGTACCTTTAAACCCAAGGAAATATAATTGAAACCCAACATAAACATGGTATTACCCTTGACTCTAGTAGTAATCAGAGATTACTTTCAGCTCGTCAAAAGCGTTTGTATTCTCCTTCGTCAGAGCAATGACTCATCCTCATTGCATAGGTTTAATACCAAAGAATAACCATAGCCACAAACACGTACATTTGAATGGTGAAAACGTCTTAGTTTCTTAACCTGTAAAGGTCTCAGTATACATACAGGAGTCAGTTTTTGGTGATTCATGCGGCCCCGATCGATTCTTTTTTGTTGAATTTTGCACCCCTTCCCCCTCTTACCTGACCCCTATCACCATTCCCTCCCTTAAGTCAATACAGACACAAGGAAGAAGGAACGATAACATATCCATCTGCCACGTCAGTTTTAATAGCTGAACAATTAACAGCAAAAAACGGGCAATAATGTAAACCCATGCCCATTTTATTTTTTCCCAAAAAGAGCACTGTGTTTTAACACTTACATAAATCGATTTAAAAATAACTGAGCTGTACTGCGTTAGGTTTATTTTGTAGCAGACACGTGTAGTACACGCTGGTACACGCCAGGATGAACTAGGGACACAAAGTTTACAATTTATACCAGAAGACTCAACTACGTATGGAACACGTTTAAGAATACCGACTTCCCCTTTGAATTCTATCGAATTTGACCTGCAACTTAAGACAGATGGGTAAGAACAAAGGAGTTTGAAGAGAAAAGCAATAAAAAGCCGGCTGGCTGAGATGGGCGAACTGCAACTTATTAAAAACACGTTCAACAAAACAAATACAACTGATAAACCTTTATAATTAACAAACCTCTAAGCGAGCTCTCACGATAGGTCCCATGTCGGTGTCCTTTTTCTCCTCACAGAAAGTGAGTGTGAGGAAAAAAGAGAAAAGAATTGCGGAAAGCCACATTGTGCAGCCGTACGTCCTTCCGTCCTCGTCTGGGCCTTGGTCTCCTCGTCTGAAAGAAGCTTGGGACAATCAAGGTTCGGACTTTTGGGTAATTTTCCGAACATTCGCGAGGTGCCCCGAGTATTTGCCGAAGGCGAATGGTAAAATGGCAATTAGACATTCAGGAATTCAGAAATTTTTAAAAAAGTTCATGTGCATGGGGCAGGAAACAATGAAAAAAATACAGAACAAAACAAAAGCAAAAACAACAACAAAAACAAAGTAAAGACATATACATACATCTCTTACGATAGAATGAAATTCTGGCTGACATTTCAGACTACACTACTTTCGGTCTCTTAATGAGTTATGTACACAGCTGATGTACACTTTTTTGGCTGTTTAATAAAGATGTGCGTTTTTACGTACAGTTTTATCGAACTCACGATAAATTCCCATACATATCCGTTAACAGATGGCTTTATTCACAGCCTAATAACTGCTGCAAGTAGGCTGTTGTGAGCCTGGGTACCCTGCGGTCAAGGTTGGTTCGGTTCTCATCCGCTAGCTGAAATCAATCCTCGTGTATAGGTTCCCCTGGGGCGGAGGGTTGTAACTAAAATGTCCTTGCAAACTCAACAGAAAACGGGAAGAGGTCGACGGAGAGTTTTAATGTCTTTAATGGTAAGTGACTTTTTGGCCCCAAATGGAAAGCTTGCTCGCAGGCTATCACAGCGACGTAGATTTTAACAAAACGGCAGATTTCATTTTGTGTTACATTTTATTGTCTGTTATTAATTTTTACATCTTTCTTTTCAATACTTAGATTTCTTCTTTACTTTTCTCGGAGACATCTTCTTCCTAGAACACAAAAACAAACACCAAAAATAGTACACGGATTCGCCTCTTCAGGGCTTGGAAAAAAAACTTGACTTCCAACTTGTCTTTTAGGCAAACTTGCTTGAGGATACTTCTTGCTTGTCTTAGTCTATAATTTTGTTAGAGGATGACTTGCCTGGTCCCTTGCCTATTGGGCAAGCAAGCTTTAAAAGTTACTTGCCCAGCGAGAAAATTTACTTGTCCTGGACTACTGGATGGGACTTTTTTGGAACCCTATGATCATAGCGAGTGCAGCTGTCAGGGGCACCCAGCAACTTTTTTCTGTAAAATGACTGAAAATCTACTTGTCCTGGACTACTGGACAGGACATTTTTCCAGTCCTATCCTATGTGTACTAGTGAGGAAAAACAAAACAGTTTCCAATCCAAGCTAGGGTTTTATATAAGAGCAAGCTGTCGGCAAAATCCACCTGCTCCTCTGCAAGGCTCCCTTTTTTTTGTAACAACATCTTAACATAATCTGTGATCTAAGTCCAATAACTGAACAGACACATGGCAAAATGGAGTCGATTTGCAAAATAGCCACTAAATTTTTTGGTACTAAGCCACAAAATATATGACACCAAGAGCCCATTGCCTGATAAGTGACAAGGGAAAGTAGCTGCAAAGTATACAATTTAAGTGACAAGGATATGAACTGAATGGCATACATACCAGTACCACCTTGTTCTTGGCATTCAAGAACACCATAGCTGGGTCTTTGCCAGGAATATACATGATGTTAACATCATGGCTTCAAAGAATTAAGGATTATGTAAGGTACAATAAATATTTTGACAAATGAATAAATCACAATGACTTAAAGTCAGTCCTGGATTAATACATTTATTAATTAAATTAAATACTTAAAAATTATCCTCTCTTCTCGTGGCGCTTTCCAGGTATAATGAAACAATTAAGTCAAATGGAACATAACATGGTTGAGAATCCCAGCTGTTAAGAGGCATACCACTTGGCTAATTTAAGAGTGTGGCTGAGGAGTTGTACTTGGTACTACCAAAACAAATCCACTAGTGGTCAGGACGGGACTCAGAGCCTCTGGATCACAAGTCCAGCACTCTAACCCCTCAACCATGCAGTCTCCTGTGTGGTACATGACCTTCACATGGACAAAATTGATGTGAAATTTGACTCAGTGATATAGCCTTAAAAAGCACGCTTTTAAAACATAAAAATATAGGCAAGAGCTAACATGTAGATGCTAAGCAAAATAAAAGCAAAATTAAATTTTAAAGAGAAAATTTCCCTCGTTGTTATTCATAAAAGGATACTAGTGAGGTAATAGCATTCTAATGAAGGCCTTCACCTGTGTTTATAAGCGACATTTCAAAAATGTGTCATACTTAAAGAATATCACTCGGCTGAGTGGAGAGGCAATTTTCTACGTATTACATAAACACCAATGAAATACGAACCATTTCACTTGAATATTTTTTTTGCTGTGAAAAGTGCAATAATATTTATCATTTAGCCATAGCAGTGACGATCTTTTCATGTACAAAGATAACATGCTATTTTTATGTGTGAAGATATCATGCTATTATATTCCCTTGATAAGATTTACAAGCAGTTAATTCATAAAAATGCCTATACTAGGGTTAAATTAGGAAAATAGCACTGCTTAGCAATACAAGGAAACATAAACTACTGACACAATAACAAATTAATGTCCAGAAGTTTGACAAACTATTCAAAAATATTGTTTGGATTCATTGACTCATTACATCCTTCCCTGCTAGCAGAGGTCTTTCATGGCGAGAGGAAAATGAAAGGAGAGAGAGCTGAGAGAGTCTCTCCCCTTCCTCTCATTTTCATCTCACCATGAGACCTCTTCTTGCAGGGAAATTACATCCTACCTCTGGAAGACGATTTAAACGTCATCCACCACAGGTCTAAGAATAAAACAAAAGGATGTAGGTTAGTAATCTCACAGTAGTTTTTATAACAACATTTTCCATAAATATTGTTTTCAATATCTTTAGGGGCAATCATTAATCACAAGGGAAATTGAAAACAATACTTCATGCAAAATTTAAGGGGGGGAACAAAGTGCATCATGGAGAATGCCATAGAGGAGAATTGGTAACTTAGTAGCAAATTAAGGTCTTTATTTTTTTAGGGAATGGTAATGAATGATGAGTTTGAAACAAGGAAAGGAAAGTTGAAACCACGGAAAAAATTGAGCCACAACATATTAATTGGTGCACAAGGGTATACAGGGACCTGCAGTGTGTACCTGCAGTGTGTACAATTCTTCTAGTGTGTATGTTGTTGTACAGTTCTATCCATGGTTTAAAATTTCATGTTCCTTTGTTTCAAACTCAACATCAGAAATTACCATACCCAAAAACAAGGAAAAGTACCTTTAAACCCAAGGAAATATAATTGAAACCCAACATAAACATGGTATTACCCTTGACTCTAGTAGTAATCAGAGATTACTTTCAGCTCGTCAAAAGCGTTTGTATTCTCCTTCGTCAGAGCAATGACTCATCCTCATTGCATAGGTTTAATACCAAAGAATAACCATAGCCACAAACACGTACATTTGAATGGTGAAAACGTCTTAGTTTCTTAACCTGTAAAGGTCTCAGTATACATACAGGAGTCAGTTTTTGGTGATTCATGCGGCCCCGATCGATTCTTTTTTGTTGAATTTTGCACCCCTTCCCCCTCTTACCTGACCCCTATCACCATTCCCTCCCTTAAGTCAATACAGACACAAGGAAGAAGGAACGATAACATATCCATCTGCCACGTCAGTTTTAATAGCTGAACAATTAACAGCAAAAAACGGGCAATAATGTAAACCCATGCCCATTTTATTTTTTCCCAAAAAGAGCACTGTGTTTTAACACTTACATAAATCGATTTAAAAATAACTGAGCTGTACTGCGTTAGGTTTATTTTGTAGCAGACACGTGTAGTACACGCTGGTACACGCCAGGATGAACTAGGGACACAAAGTTTACAATTTATACCAGAAGACTCAACTACGTATGGAACACGTTTAAGAATACCGACTTCCCCTTTGAATTCTATCGAATTTGACCTGCAACTTAAGACAGATGGGTAAGAACAAAGGAGTTTGAAGAGAAAAGCAATAAAAAGCCGGCTGGCTGAGATGGGCGAACTGCAACTTATTAAAAACACGTTCAACAAAACAAATACAACTGATAAACCTTTATAATTAACAAACCTCTAAGCGAGCTCTCACGATAGGTCCCATGTCGGTGTCCTTTTTCTCCTCACAGAAAGTGAGTGTGAGGAAAAAAGAGAAAAGAATTGCGGAAAGCCACATTGTGCAGCCGTACGTCCTTCCGTCCTCGTCTGGGCCTTGGTCTCCTCGTCTGAAAGAAGCTTGGGACAATCAAGGTTCGGACTTTTGGGTAATTTTCCGAACATTCGCGAGGTGCCCCGAGTATTTGCCGAAGGCGAATGGTAAAATGGCAATTAGACATTCAGGAATTCAGAAATTTTTAAAAAAGTTCATGTGCATGGGGCAGGAAACAATGAAAAAAATACAGAACAAAACAAAAGCAAAAACAACAACAAAAACAAAGTAAAGACATATACATACATCTCTTACGATAGAATGAAATTCTGGCTGACATTTCAGACTACACTACTTTCGGTCTCTTAATGAGTTATGTACACAGCTGATGTACACTTTTTTGGCTGTTTAATAAAGATGTGCGTTTTTACGTACAGTTTTATCGAACTCACGATAAATTCCCATACATATCCGTTAACAGATGGCTTTATTCACAGCCTAATAACTGCTGCAAGTAGGCTGTTGTGAGCCTGGGTACCCTGCGGTCAAGGTTGGTTCGGTTCTCATCCGCTAGCTGAAATCAATCCTCGTGTATAGGTTCCCCTGGGGCGGAGGGTTGTAACTAAAATGTCCTTGCAAACTCAACAGAAAACGGGAAGAGGTCGACGGAGAGTTTTAATGTCTTTAATGGTAAGTGACTTTTTGGCCCCAAATGGAAAGCTTGCTCGCAGGCTATCACAGCGACGTAGATTTTAACAAAACGGCAGATTTCATTTTGTGTTACATTTTATTGTCTGTTATTAATTTTTACATCTTTCTTTTCAATACTTTAAGGGAAGTCATTATATTCAGACAGGGTTTACACGGACGTAGTTTCACATTAAAACGATTTCTGGAACTAAAACAGTTTTGTGCCCCGTTCACACCAAACCTTAAACCGTTGAAAAGCTGTTTAGTAAATTACGGGTTAAATTTGTTTCTTTCATAAAAGCCACCAAATGATTATTTCACTTACAAATTTGGCACAAATTAAAGAATAGCCGAAATTTTCTCGAGCTCTATGTAAAAGCCAGTTCTTAGGTTATCTTTTGGTCATTTTCATTTTGTTAAACCTGGTTTAACTAAACATGTTTTCATTGTGTGAACAGGGCTTAGGTGTTTAGATGGACTTGTTTTAAGCATTCGATTCAGATAGAAGCAAAATTGAAAAGCAACTTAGTTTCACTGTTTCCAGTAAATATGAACATTATGATTACTTTTAAGCCAATTCCGAGTTCCAAAATCCCTCACTTTCAAGGGGACGAGGCTAAATGTAAAACCTTTCTTGTGAAAATGAGTTTAATTTGCGTGAGAATAAAAAAATCATTTTCATATCGATAGCTTCGCACTTAGCCTCGCTCTGAAACAGAGTCTTGGGGCAACTCTTTTGACCCGTATTCAATAGCCGTCTTAATCCTTGAAGCCCCAATATACACGTACAAATTCTCCAAACTGATCTGATATGAGTTGAGAGAATCTGACAAAAGATCAAAGCATTTTCTCTCAGGTGATCATTTTATTAAGTCTCATAACCTAACTGTATGGACATCGTTAAGAGAAAATTGATCTTGCTCACTGTTGGGACTTAAAGGGTTAAAAGCAAATACCACGGTTGCAAAATGAAGCCATGTCCGTGTAAACGTTGCATTCCTCACTAGAAATTCGGTTTTAAACAGCCCTACACAGAACACAGTCACGTGACCAATATATAAAGCTTCATCACCATATATGGTGTTGAGCTTTTTAAAACAAGAGGTAAAAATATGACGAAACGAAGAAACTTAGCAACGAGTAGAAAAAAAAAGAATACTTAAATAGGCCACCTTTCGACCTGCCTATAGCCTCTTTTTAAGAGAATCCTCGCGTTCATCCTTTCACAAAAAATAAGCTTTTACCCACACGCAAAGTTTAAAACTCATTTTCATTCCAACGGTTGTGCACAAAGTAAAACTTTAATAAAGAGACTTTGTGCAACTCGAAAAAAAGCTATTAAAATTCTACAACGCGTTTATAGAAAGTGCTATAAAAATAAATAAATTTTAAGAAAAGGAACATGGGCTGAGTGAATGTCGCAACTGAGCTCTGTGGAAGGCAAACAAACAACTATGCGAAGCGTCGGCAGGGGGCGCGGGAAGTTTATACCATCTAGATTTCTTTTTCAAATAACGCAGTAAATGAAAGTTAACTAAGTGCTTTTCAACTAAAAAGTTTCGTTACAAGCAGAAAAAACTGACTACTTCACGGCCTTATTCTTACGGTCTTGTTCATAGTGATGGGGGAGATAATTTAACGTAGGTAATCACAGTCTGTCAGAGATACCAGCTCAGAAGGGAATTCTACGCTGCAAGAGTTTTATTTTAATGGTCTGCATTTTCCGCCCTAACAGGACAGAGATGAAGCGCTAAACGTTGAACACTCCGTACCGAATATTCTGCAAGTTTCGCCTGCTAACAAGCTCTCCATTTATGGCGAGCAAAGCGAGCTGCGAGAAAACGAGCTGGAAACACCCCTGCCACTCGGGTCTCCTTTCGCGTGCTGCTCACGCGTGACTTCTCGCGACTCCCCCAAATGGAGAAGTTGCTTGCAGGCTACTGAAAGTTTAGAGACCAATGTTAATGTCTGAGAGCGTGAAAAAAATGGTTCAAGGAATTACGCCCAGAGGCTGATGGTTTAGGGATCGACGCCTGCAACCAACACTTAGAGAAATAGTTAAGTGTAGTCATGGGCTCCTGTTTAGAGCCGATCATTACTACCTTAGTATTTGATGCTTGCGCAAACACTACAATAGCCGGTTTTTTTCCCAAAATCGGTTTAGCTTAGCTTTCGAGTCTCACACGCGCCAAGCGCGCGAGCCTCACACGCCCATATTTTTGGCGTCTCTCCCCAGTCTCGCTCTCCGCTGGCGCGTTCTTGAATATGCAAAAATACGGACTGTTTTGCAGTCTATGAAAACAATTGAGGGGTTGGAACCAGCCCAGTCAACTTGATTTCAGGACCTAATCTTTAAAACCAGCAACAACGCCATTACACATAATTATTAAAGGTGCGAACTATACAATACTTCCCAGTTGTGCGACCAATCAGTGGATGCACATAAGCTATCCCTACTGTGAAACTGCAAGAGCTCACAAATAAGGTCTGGTACGTCATGAGCCTCATTCACGAGTCCCTTGTCCCCGATTAAGGGAATTTCCCTTACAGGTTAAATTCAATTTAATTTAATTCATTTTATGAGGATTGCTTCTTTGGATTAAAGTTTTTGTGGCTTCTGAAGCGATCGTAACGCAATACTTTTCGATATGGATACGGAGCATCGCGCGACGACTACACTGCGTGACGACCACACTTGTGTATGACTGTATCATACTGGTACGCCTGTGTCAGGTTGTGCGCAGAACACCCACTTTTTTCTTGCTACAAATTCTACACGCAAGCAAAGAAATCATCTTTCTGAAGGGTAACTGCGGGTGGATCATTCAACATGCAAGCACAGAAGTGGTCTACGCAAGCCATAAATACTACGAATGGAGTGGGTTCCTTTTCCATGGCTTAAATATTTCAAGTTTAACTTTAGTAACAATATCTACAATTGTAGGGCTTTCAGATAAGTGCTTTCCTCTACGCGTTAATAAAATTTACCCCTGCACAGGTTCTCAACATTATACTGAACCTAATACATAAACAATGTACCCTCGACGGATTGTATAACATATCCTCAAAATATTTTTACAAATAACAATATATTCAAGAAACTTAATATTTACGTCTCTCTTCTATGTACATACATATCACCTAACGACAGATAATTGGCATATAGATATCTCATAAGTTTGAGTTACTGTCACACCGTCGAAGTTATCTCAAACTCAAATTCTACTAGACTGTGAATTTTTTTCCAAATAAGTTACAAAATAAGTTTTAAGTCAAATCGACCCCTCAGAGTTAATTTAAAATAACCTCTTGCATTGTCTATCAATCTATTTAAGGGCAAAAGGACTAAAACATACAGAGGAGCCGAAGTAAATCCAGTTTACAGCACGCGGCTGGTCCAATAATTTAAAGCAGAATTTTCTAATAATACTTTCCCTAAATAATTTTTCGTATTGTTTTACCAGCTGGTAATAATTCCTGTTTTACTGGTTCTTGATAAGGTCCTGAACTTTAGCTACCAGTCCTCGCGCCACACNAGAAACTTAATATTTACGTCTCTCTTCTATGTACATACATATCACCTAACGACAGATAATTGGCATATAGATATCTCATAAGTTTGAGTTACTGTCACACCGTCGAAGTTATCTCAAACTCAAATTCTACTAGACTGTGAATTTTTTTCCAAATAAGTTACAAAATAAGTTTTAAGTCAAATCGACCCCTCAGAGTTAATTTAAAATAACCTCTTGCATTGTCTATCAATCTATTTAAGGGCAAAAGGACTAAAACATACAGAGGAGCCGAAGTAAATCCAGTTTACAGCACGCGGCTGGTCCAATAATTTAAAGCAGAATTTTCTAATAATACTTTCCCTAAATAATTTTTCGTATTGTTTTACCAGCTGGTAATAATTCCTGTTTTACTGGTTCTTGATAAGGTCCTGAACTTTAGCTACCAGTCCTCGCGCCACACTCAGAGCAGCTCTCGCATCATGACGTTCAGCCATTTCTGTAGGTTACAAGGAAAAAAAAACTCATTTTGGAGGCCTTATTAGGAAAGGCAAAACGCAATGAATTCACCACATTAAAGAGAGGTTTATCCTCTCTTGCCACCCTAGAAACAAGAGAAGAGAACTGGAACCGAAATGTGTGCCGCAATTGTTTCTGGGATAGTAGCAGTCCCAGAAGTTTTTGCAAGTTAACTCGGCCCAGTTTCCTTCTCGTTTCTGTTGCGAATACCGATAGCAAACGCCACTTTGCAACATACGCAACATACGCAACATACTGGTGGGGGAGGGGGGAAGAACTTTCATACTGACTTACCGTTGAAAAACT